TTCGGTAGTCCTGCAGCTACAGGAACGACGGCCCAACCTACCATTCCTACCATACCTCAGTCAACGTCAGATCTACCCAGTCCCAAAGAAGTAAGTATTCCCATGTCTCTTTTTGTAGTTATTCCACACAAGCGTAACATCTTTGTTCTTTCAATTAATTTGCAGAAGGTAGCGCTTATAAGCTGTCCTGAATCCACAAGGTCGTATACATCAAATTGTTTCTAGTCTATAAAACACAAATTTCGAGATCAGCAGAAAAGGAATATTAAATTGTTAGAATAAATTTGACAAAATATTGATGTGTACATAATATTGATGTGTACATAATACAAATATGTTCTAAATCTTTTGCATTGTTATGATAAAGATGTTTTTGCTTTGGAAGATACATGGACTATAACAAGAAATTGCAATTACCTATGTGCTCTCTAATTTTATTAAAATAGATCATCTGCGTTTCAGCAAGAAAATTATGCAACATATCTAATTATATTGAAATGTTTATTTCTTAATTATGATAAGAACTTATTGAACGATCTGATCTGTTTTATATATATTATTCATAATAATTATAAATATTATGATATATAGACAAACATATATTTATAGAGAAACTTATATCTAATTAACAAATAATTAATTTATAAACATTTACATTTTTATAACGTTTTAATATATTATATAATATAACCTTTCTTTATTAAATTTAAAAGTAGAATAAACAAGTAACAAGAAATTTAAGAAATATAGCTATAATAATAAATAATTATTTTTATTGTGCTTATCATATGTGTTATATTTTTGTCAATCAGGTAAACAGGGAAGATCAGGAAAGCGAAGTAGGTGTAAGCAATGCAGTAGCTGAAGGATCATCGGCGAGTAGTGGCGATGTAGACGACTCTTTTGACAGCAAAGAGACTGATAAAGAATCTAAGAAGAAGAAAAATCGTTGTGCTGTATGTCGCAAAAAAGTTGGTTTGACCGGTAAGTGCAAAATGTAATATACAATAAATTATTAGTAATGTATTATGAAAGCTTCGAGTTTCTTTGGCAATGATAAATTTTCAGGATTTGAGTGCCGTTGTGGAGGACTATTCTGTGCCGTGCATCGGTACAGTGACAAGCACGATTGCAAATTCGATTACAAAGAAATGGGCGCTCAAGAAATTCGGCGCAACAATCCAGTTGTTGTTGGTGAAAAAGTGCAAAAAATTTGAACTATTTAGTGTGTAGTCGTTGGGAAAATGGTTATTATAACTATATAAACAAACAGAATATTAAAAAAAAAAAAAAAAAACACGAAGAAAACGAGATAAATTATCTGGCAGCTGATTCGCACGTTGAGAGGTGAAACGAGCGAGTGCAAGATCGAGAGAAAGTGAGAGTATGAATGTGAGTGAGCGCGCAAGAACGACAGCAAAATTGTTTTGTAGCTGAACTGTCAAGAAAACGTAGAAAGAAAAATGAAAAAAGAAACGAATATATCAGACAGAACAAATAAACGAAAGATCGTAAATTAGAATGTGTGTGTGTGTGTATGAGAGTGAACGGTTCGTAATTGAATGCCAGTGCCATGTAAGTCAGATTTGTCATCTAGCGAAAGAATTTTAATTGAGAATATACCTGGTTATTAACTGCTGCCAGCTTACTACTATTATTATTACCTATTATTATCTTCATGATTATTACGGTTTATAATTATTCTATATATTATGTTTATTAATTTACTTAAATGGAAAATTGCAAATATATGAAGCTCGTTTTACGTAAAGGCAGAACTCTTGGTGCGGTCAGTCAGTCCAGGGCGTCTCCTTAGAAGTGTTTTGGTTTGTTTTAGAAAAATTTTATACATTATACTGTTTCGTTTATATATCAAAAAAATAAATAAATAGGGAATGTTGCTTAGGTAATGGCTGACGTTGATGGGTGATCACAATCTTAGGTTAATAATTATAGTCTAATAATTATTAAGTATATTAGTCTATTGATTCATAAATAATGCAATGAAGTATAAGTAGTACTGTGTGTTTATGTCCAACTTCACGTGAATATAACCAGCAATTATTACTCATTAAATATGTTTCAACCTATATTGCAAATAATTATTTACACTGCGGCCGCAAATCTGGGATTTGTAAATTAAACCCCTCTTTAACGTAATTTTCGATTTTTCTTAGAATATAAATGAATTGTTAGTAGTTGAAATTGTCGATTAGTTTACTCGTTTTCTTCTTTATTTTTGCTTGTTTTGCGAGTTTTGTAGAATAGCTGCGCGAGGTATTCCGGTGCTGCATAGCAGCGCATAATGTAAGAATAAATGATTAATAAAATGTCTAATGAGAGGCCGGGCATTATATGAACGACAAAGAAGAAAACTATTAAACGTTTATAAAGTGTGAACGTATATGAATTAAAATCATGCGCGAAGGATATTACATCGATAAAATTTTATAATTCACATACATATTCTCTATTTTTCTTCTCCGCGCTTAAAATTCGTGCCGAACTTTATTTCTTTTTCTCGTCCGTAAATAGCTATATATATATATATATATTTGTAAAGCTATAGCATGCGTGTGAAAAGAGGTGCTATAGCTGTCCGGTTTTGTTGTATTCTTGTAAAAAGCAAGATGAGTAAGAAGATGATAAAGCAGCGCAAATTTATGCTCCATGTGTAAGTCAATTCCTTAAGAGCTTTATAAGAGTTTTGAATTTTTTTGAAGAAAAAGAGAAAATGTAAAAAAATATATATATATTGTGGTTTTCCGATTCCGCGTAAAACAAAATAATGTATATTTTTTTCTTTCTCTTATCCTGGGACAAAGCGCTTATATAAAAATTGTGCTGCCTTTCTTTTATTTCTTATTTTGTAATTAGGACCTGTTTTGTATAAAGTAGCATATTCTTGTTATTTGCCTAAGATTTATTTTTGCGTCGCTTCGAAAAGTATGTGTATAGCAAAGATTTTTTTTATTTTCGATAAATATAAAGCGTTCTGTTAAATGTAATCGTAAGGTTTATCAAGCGTTGATTTTCTTTCTTCAGAATAGAACGAACAACAAATACGCAGTTTTCCCGCTACCAAATATTTCAACGTATCGCCGCCAAATCGTATCCTTCAACCGAAAACGATTTTATTTCTTCGAATATGCTGCATCGTAACAAAATTTGCAAAAAAAAAAAATACAATTTAACGATATCTAGAAATTAAGACTGTCAGATGTGGATTTTTCAGTATAATCACAATAATTCGATATAACACGATTCTTGGCGATTTTTACAGAACGACTTTATGACTTCACGTAGAGACAATATGTACACCTTATCATATATCAAGATCGTCGATGGATCTGTTTTCTATTTCTTTTTGGCGCACTTTTAGGAACGCTGATGAGAGAAATCAGAATCGTGTATAGAAGAAAACGCGCGCACACACATGACACATACGCAATACACTGACATATACACACCGATTATCAGTAATATCGGAATGGTTGCCTTCAGGCCTTCATCCTATTTTAGGCATAGCATATTTTTCTAACGTGTATCGCAATATCGGAATAATCTTGCCTAGCGAGAGCGATCGAATGATAGAAAGAAAGAGAAAAAGGGAAAGAGTGATTGAAAGAATGTGTATACGTGATGGATAGAGATGCTTGCGAGAGTGAGGCAGAAGAATGGGTGCACAGGAATATAAATGATTTATAGGAGATGAGAGGGAGAAAAAAAAGAAAGAAAAAGAATAAGAGAAAAATAAGAAGATTATCAGCGACGATCGTATTTGGCTGACTATATAAGGACGTAACACGATGCTTGTAATTATTACGATTGATATTAGTACGTTTAAGCTATTAAAAAAAGTAACATCAACTTTTTAATATATTATATGATTACAATTACCATCCTTTGAAATGCTTTAGACATTTAGGTTTCACGTACGTAAAACGAAGTTAGTGTACTCTCATATGTTCCTCCCTTTTTTCCTTTCCTCTCACCTTTCCTTCATCCACCCTCTTCTTCCTTCTCTCGTCTTCTTCTTCTTCCCAGCCCTTACGGACCTTTTAACAGTTCTAAAACGTTTATAATTATAGTGGACTATATTTATGTATATTTAAAAACAAAATATATATAAATGCATCACCCTTAACGAAGGCCGGCAATCGTTTTTTGTGTGTTCTCGACTACTTTATATAGAACTTTAATCGGCACCTCTCTCCGAGTTATATTGTAGCTACTGTACAAAAAATATCTCCCGAACGTTTAAACACGAGGTGCGATCTTATTTTCTCTGTAATGAAAAAATTTTGCTGCAATAAACGGTTTATCTTTTATTACGGTGGCTACCTAATCATATCTCGAATCTCGATTGAAATTTATACTTTTAACATGCCTTCAAGCATTCACATAGTAAACGAGTTACACATTACATAAATATATTTTATATATACTCTTTTTTTTTTTTATTAGAAATCGAAATATTTTATATAGGAAATTTAGTTGAAGATTCGCGCCCATAACATATGTTCAAAAGACATCTAGAGGATGTAAAACATGTTTTACTCTAGATGTCCTCTGGACGTCTTTCGAACGTGTGTGTTATTAAAGGTATAACAAATATTTAAATATCCAGTTGCTATTTTATTTTGCAGAGTTTGCATTATGATTGATGGAGATATATGTTTCTATTATGTAAATCAGTATATTTCATGACCTTAGAGCTCTATTCGGACGTATTTATATACCGCATAATACATATGCATAGAAAAAAATACAAAAACCGATGACATGTCTAATATACAGAACGCAAAAATATAATATTCATTAGATACATGATTGATCATTTTTATGCATATACATTCATTACGCGGTTGTATGTACAAACAGTCTAAATAAATCTCTTGAACGATCTTGTAAAAAATAGATGTTCATACAAATAATCTCTCCTCTGCGATCATAAAAGATAATGGTTTACATTTATTTAGCGCGATTTCCAGAATTAGAGGTCTAGTAACGTCGAATAAAAAAAGATTCAATCAAATTTGAGGATTCGAGAAGATAATCGATCTTTCAACGAGAATCGATTCTTCTCGATGTATTGATTGAACAATACTCATTCCTCTTCCGCTCTCAGTGCGTGAAAACATCCGGTTCCCTCCATAACCATAACCATAAATATTGATTTCAGATTTCGGCCAGTATTTATAAGGTAAGAGAAGCATTAAAACGCGTCCTGGGCATAAAGGACGGAAATCTAACAAAGATATCTTTTCTTTCCAAAGAGAAATATTCTTAGTTAGTTAGTCACACCATGTCGATCGGAGTTCCTATCAAAGTGCTTCACGAAGCGGAAGGCCATATTATAACCTGCGAGACAAACACCGGCGAAGTGTATCGTGGTAAACTAATAGAAGCGGAGGATAATATGAATTGTCAGATGCAGAATATCACAGTGACGTATCGGGACGGCCAGGTGGGACAGCTGGAAAATGTATACATTCGTGGCTCGAAAATCAGATTTCTCATATTACCGGACATGCTGAAAAATGCGCCCATGTTTAAACGGCCGGGTGGCAAGGGTTCGGGCACCGCCGGTAGAGGAAAATCCGCTATATTGCGTGCTCAAGGTTTGTTGTAATATTGTATTCCTGTAAACATTAGTAGAGTTTAGTGAAAAAAACAGTACTAAAATACTACATAGATATTTATGAAAGTGAGAGAGTTTAGTAAGTCAATTTTCTTTTTCGGATAGATTCTAAAAAAAAGAAAAAGTCAATAAGAATATATATACTTTTAATATATATGTTTTGCAAACGATGTATAGAATAATGAGTTTAATTATGTTACTAATTGAAAAATGTTTTTTCTAAATTTTGTCTCTAAAAAAGTCAGCTGGTATTAGTATTTTATACATGTGGCATTTAGATTTATATAAAAATATATATGAGATAATATAAAATGAATCACAATGTTTAATTGCATATTGAAAATTCTTCTTTCAAACAAAATTTACATGTGTATGTGTATATTTTACGATTCTAATAAATAAAATTGTTCTAGCTCGTGGCAGAGGAAGGGGACAGAATCAAAGAGGCAAAGGTACTGGTTCGGCACCATGGCTTAATCAACAAAATCAACCGGGAGGATCTCAAACTGGTAGAGGCAGAGGATAAACATAATGACCCATTTTAGGGTCGAAAATAAAATTGCAATTTCATCCTCATATTTTTGTATTATTTCTAGATAATATCTCTGAATACATCCAAAATTATATATGTATGTACATTTCTGATATATATGCGATAGCTCTAATAAATTGGTTATTGTATTGCAAGTTTTATCCATTAGAAAATAGTTTTATATATATGATATGTTATAGCATTCTAAATTAATAATGCTGGTATTATCTGTTTTAGTATAACTCTAATGCATGGATAAAATTTTAGATTTTAGATTCTCCTTGAGCTTATAATATAAAAAATTAAGTGTGTTTTAAAAATCATGCAAAATGAGCTTTATTCTTATAGGAAATTTAGGTTGCATTTTGCATACAATATCTCCAATAAAAGATTTTATCTTGGAACTAGAATGGAAGTGGCAAGCCTAAAATCTCTAGAAAAGAAATTTTGTTATTGGCTATCCACGCGAATGTCGTCCGAATCTCCCTCTACCTTCCACTAGCGATACATCTCGAAATATTTCTTTTTTCTACACATGTTCTCCAATATAATCTATTTTTCATACAATCTGTCGTAAATAGCATGTAAAAATGTTTGAAAAATTTCAACCGCGATTATTGGATGTAAATAAAGGACCTGGGGCGCGTTCCACTTAACAACCGCAACGTTCACGGTATCATTTTATGCTTGTTGTTCACCGAAAGTTAAACAAGGACAGATGATGCTTGCGAGCGTTGCGGTCGTTAAGTGGAACGCGCCCCTGGTCAACCCATGGTGTAAGTAACAAGGTGTGCTACTGCGCAGGCATTTCTACTGACCAATGGCCGCGTTCAGCAGAGAAAGTGCTCAGTTATCGTCTTGTCAACACTCGACGTTGATTCGTTGGTTCTAAAAGTAAGAACCAATCACATTCGATTGCTACTAAGCGGTTTTCTCTGCTAAACGCGGCCATTTATCGTCGCGTTGCTTATCAGTTGCTATGATGATTTTGCAAGATGGCAGAAACTTGGTGCTGCGCAGAATGTGACGAAAATTCGTCCGAGAAGATAGCACACCTTGTTACTTACACCATGCTGCGCAGAATGTGACGAAAATTCGTCCGAGAAGATAGCACACGTCGTTACTTACACCATGGGTCAACCTAAGAGACGAAAAAAGATCACGCTTGTTTTTGATGAGGAAAAACGACGGTAATTATCTTTATTAAATTCGTATAATTATCACACAAGTAAACTATATATTCATGCAAATATAGAGAGTTTTTAGGAGGGTTTCGTAAAAGAAAATTAGAACGGAAAAGGAAAGCTCAGGAACAGTTGCAAAAACAATTAAAAGAAGAACAAAAGAAAATTAAACAAGAGGTAAGTGTAAAATGCTAAAGCATTGTTTTCTAAAAAATTATAGAAAATACAAGTATATATGTATTTTCATAGGCACGAGAACGTTACAAAAAATTAGTAACGTATCGGAATGTCCCAGAATTAGAAGAATTATTATCTAAGCAAGAATATGATCTGGAAGGACATACAGTCAGTATTTTGGAGTTAAACGTAGCGGAGCTTGCAGAAGGAAGTAGGTGGATAGGTGAAAACAAGATTGCAGAGAAAAAAGAAGAGGAACAAGATGATGAAAGTGAGCATGCTAATAATGATGACGATGAAATTGTGGGAATGTCATTGCAAGAGAAACAGAAGAATCTAGTACAGCAGAAACCTGAATCTGATAGTCAACAAATTAAATCTTCAAAAGAACTGAAACGGGAAATAAAGAAAGCAGCACTGAAGCACATTAAAAAAAGTAAGGCATTTCAACAAAAGCAGAGATTGGAACAACAGAAAAATAAAAAACAGAGTAGACAAAAGTTATATAATGCTCAAAAAGTAATGCACAAACATGGTAAACGGAGTAAAAATAAATCAAAACATTAGAATATTTGAAAAGTTTGCTGAATATATAATTTTAAATAAATGTATTTTGTAATAAACATTGATTTTTTTTTATATATATAAATATATGAATTTATTACTTTTTCTTCTGTCCACTATTGTTTGAGACGTATGGACAAATATTATTGTTGAGGCATTCAGAACATTTTGGAAATCGAGGTAGACATATTTCTTGACCGAATCCTACAAGAAGATAATTTATCTTACTCCACAGGGATTTAGGAAGCCAATCTTCTAGTTCATTTCTCGTTTCCTCTGGTGTTTTAGTTGGCTTTTTCACCCATTTTAATCTGTTGCAAATCCTGTGAACATGTGTGTCCACACCAATACCAGATACTTCTCCCCATGCAATTTGCATACATATATGACCCATTTTAGGTCCTACTCCTGGTAGCTCGCACAATTCCTTTATTGTTTTTGGAATATCACCTCCATATTTATTTAGAAGAATAACTGATGTCTTTTTTATGTACTCCACCTTTCTCTATAAAAAGAAATAATATATACATCTTTAATGCAAAGAGATTTAAGGAAAATTGAATTCTAAAATTAATATTCAATAAACAGATAGCATCAAAACCTTCCAAAATCCAACTGGATATATAAGTTTGCCTAGAACATCATGAGGTGTAGCTGCTATTATATCCGGTCTACAACCATAAGTGTTAAGACGTTGCATAGCAGCATGTGTGACCTGGTCCTTTGTTTGACTACTTAACATCAGAGCTATTAATGATTGATATCTGGATACTGGTGGACTGGCATTAGGATCTGTACATTTGTGACAACCCATATCATCAACTGGGGCTGTCTTATGTTTTCTCATTTCTTTGACATTTTCCAAAATGATCTCCCAATTCGGTGGCATCCATCGTTTCTCATCTTTGATGTTTTTCGAATCAGCTGATTGCTCTACATTCTCGTCTTTCATCTCACATTTTTCGGTTTTGACAGTTTTTAGAGTCGATGATTCTTTGACATTTTGGCTCTGTATCTCGACGGCTGATGTTGCATCAGTACTTTTAACGTTCGCTTTATCCTCTGTCGCATCGTATTCGATCTTGATCGGCGAACGTTTCTTCGCACCGGTCTTTACAATCGTTTTTTCACCGGCAAAATAAGGTGACGTTTTTTCTGAGAAGGTCGCGAGGGTTTTTCCCGAACGTAAGGTTCTCGATGTCGAGATAACATCCAGTTTCAATCTTTTATTCATTTTATCGGACGAGACATAACAATATTGTCGTTAAATGGAATCAACTTTTTTGCGCGGTAAGAGAAACGCACGTGGAGATGAAGATTAATTTTTGCGGTACTCACACACGCACAGTACGCGTTAAAGATTGCACGCGCAGGCGCTAACTGTATATGGTCTATCCCCTTCATAACCTGATCTAAAACCTGTCAAAAACCTTGTAGTAAATGTGTTAACAATAAATAACTTATTCGAGTCGAAAGCATCTTTAAAAAAGAAAAAAAAGAAAAAACTACGAAAAACGCATGTATATATAATATATGCAATAAACAAACTCTGTTCATTCTATCTATATCGAATGTGTTCAAAACGTCAGTCAGAAGATATAATTCAAGGGTGGAGCGCGTCTCCGTGCTTATTTTTAACGCGTATTATGCGAATATTGTAAGGAAAAATTAATTTTCCTCATCGCATCTCTTGCAGGAATCAGTGTTGAATTCCAAGTGATTTTTTCAGGATTCTTGACACCATAAGTGGCGATTTGTACAGCAAGTAACGAGATGCCATCGCGGCGTGTTATTGTTTTATTACACGTGTGATTAAAGTGTACGAAATTTCTTTAATCATGAGCGCGCCGAATCAGTTACCAAATCTTGACAAGATCTTTCGAGATGAAGACGAGCCTGACTTTGTACCTTCAGGAGGGTACGTATATTGTGTATGTTTACATATAACACACACATATACACATTATAATTTATTGGATATTTTTCAATTTTTAATGATTTAATTAGTTAAATAATAATGTCTGATTTCTATATCGCATTTTGTCTTTTTCTTTTCGTTTTCTAAAATCTGAACATACATTTACTTTAAGTGTAGAAGAAAATGTGCAATTAAAACAAATAAAATTATTGTTATGTATTAATTATTGTTCTATTTAATTTCAATTTTCAGATTTGCATCTATTTAATAAATGCTTATGCCTTATGTTATTATCTTTAATAAAATGATGTTAACTTGTTTTTTTTCTTAATATTATTTTTATCTCTTGTATAATAAGAATAAATCTCTTTATTGTATTTTCAGATCTAATCTGGCTGCCATTTTTGGGCTACAATCAAAACTTGCAGATCCTCATTCCATTAAACAAACAGCTCCTAAAAAGAATAGAATACTTGAGAATACTCGATATAATATACAGCAAACTGCGCCATCTTCTAAGATAGAAATCCTAATAGCTAAAGCTGTACATGCTTTTAAATTGTAATTATATCAAACTGCTAAGAATGTTACTTATTCTTATAATTGATAAAATAATATGCATACCTATGATTATAACATTATCTCTCTCTCTATGATATCTATTTTATGAATTATAATTAATAATAACAATATAATTAAATTTCAGACAAAATGGTCAATATGCTTCTGTTGGGAAGCTTGGTTTAGCATTGACAGGCAATGTAACAACGAGGCTATATCAGATAATTTTATACAAGACTAAACAAGAATATGTATCTATCGCCACAGTGACACGCGATTTTGTGTATACTGTACAAGCAAACAATTATGCCAGTTATTATGATAATAACAATGAGAATTGGTCTATTTTATTCGAGAATAATGAGAGCTATCTAGAGTTTGGAATAGAAATAGGATTAGCGCATTACTTTGCAGTACAAGAGAGAGGAGAAAATGTGATTTACCAAGATTTAGCACCAGCAAGTAATAAAGATATGATCGCGAAAGAAGGAGACAATATATGTATCAAATATTTTGTGGGAACTGAGATAATACAACCTTTTAAGACAAATTTTGTAATGTCGCAAATCATGACTGTAGAAATATCGACAGATGACAATTGGGAGAGAGTTCTTTTGGGCAGTGGCAAGGGCCTGAAAATAATTTTGTTCTTACCTCCAAGCAAACAGGTAATTCAACAAATTTTTGTGGAATACTGTATGTAACAATGTTGTCTATTAAATAGTTTTACATAGATTAGTTTAGGTCCTGGATTTCCTAAAGAGAGAGATGTTATGCTGATAATAGAGGTAACCGATATAAAAATACCAGAAGAAAATGTGCCCATACCTAAAATTTTAACAAGTGGAAAAGCTGCCATAATATCAAGGATGGCTAAAATGGGTCAATCCATCTTACCAAAAATGACTCTACCTTCTACTACTGATTCTGAGGATACTGAGGTATTTATATTCACATTCCTATTTTGTACTGCTCAATTTTTCATTACATTTATATTATATATTTTTCGAATATAACTTACAATATATCATCACCTAATTTGAGAGAGATAATACTATTTTATAGGATGATGTACCTCGTAAATCTCCTCGTCAGAAAAGGGTTTGTCACAATTTCCAAATTTTTTTTATGAAAGTGCAATTTCTCTACATCTTGTTAAAATATTGCTTATTCTATTAGATAGAACAATCAGAAGAAACTTTGCAAAAGAAGAATTTGTTGCAAGAGTCATTGGAAGAAAAAGCCACTCATAAAGTTGTGGAGCCAAGAACTGAAGTGCCTTCTGTAAACTCTAATACTTACAAACCAGTAGTTGCTGCATCCCCATTAACGCAGCAGTGGGCACCTCCATATTTTGCTGTAAGAGTAGTTCTGTATTCAATAGATTTATTTATGCAAAGTAAATAGTAAAAGACAGTCAAAATTATAGGGGCATTATGTAACAATGGACAATCAGATGTATCCTGTACCGCAGACTGTAAATCGTACAGTACCAGCCACTCTAGATCCCGGAATCAATATGTTATTATCGGAAACAAGGATAACAAATGCGGAAATACGAATGGGGATGTCCAAGATATCTGACAATGTCCAGAAATTATTGGACAAGGTATGCATATGGATAATAAGATGATAATACATCAATTATAAAATTGTTACATATGTGTAGTTCCATGCACTTGAGCTTCAAAATGCAACAACTCCGACAAATGATAAAGCAACTTTGGATGCCTCTTGGAAAATGTTTTTAGCTCTTAATGCATCTCATGCAGGAGTAAAGCAAAATGAATTACCAAAGAGTACTGATAAAAATATATCGGATGAGAAAATTTGTGAAACGCAGAGCAAAATAAGTATTTTGGAAAATAATTTAAAAAAATCAGAAGGTACAACGATCATTTGAGATAATAAAAATAATATTTAAGTAATAATAATATATCAGTATGTGTAATTTATATAAGTATAATAATTATTGTATTATTAAACTATGCAGAGGAGAAGGAATCATTGTTGCAAATTAATAAGGATATGAACAGAAGGCTTCAAGAATTGGAAACAAAACTAAGTAATACAAATGACGAGTTGGAAAAAACTAAGGAAGCTTTAGAAGTAGCTAAAAATACAATTGAACAATGTAAAGAAAAAAATGTTAGTTTAGAAAATAGACTTTCTAATAGAGAGCACGTTTTCCAAGCTGATTCAACATCTTTCAGACAAAAAGATGTAATGCTAATCACATATTCTGTAAATTACATATCATATTTTATCAATTCATTGATATTATATTAATTACTTAACTTGTAGATTAAGAAAAAGAACAAAGAAATTAAGCAAATAATGAACAAAACATATCATACATTATCAGAAAGATTTGCGGATGAATCATGTTCTGAACTATCCTTTGATTATGTAAAGTCAACTATTGCAAGCACAATAAAGGTATAAGAGAAATACCAATATAATATTTATCATAGTATTATGTTAATGTATTTTAATCGAAATTTTGTGTTTAGCATATCACTTTACAAGTATTATATGAAGACTCTGATGAAGAAGATGTAGACTCTAAGATAAATAAGAATGTGGATTCCACAATTAAAACTGTTAGGCAACAACAAACTGAAGAACAAACAGAAAGGCTAGTATTAAACGCATCCAGTGATAACGATCTCTCGATAAAACAAACAGAAACTTCAAGATCTACCACGGTAATCACTATTAAAAATTTTATATATATATTTCTATGAAAATAGATTCCTGAAAGGAATAATTATTTTTTCTTTTATCTTTAGATCATGCCTGTATTTGAAAATGAACCACCACCTGTTCCACTTGATGATATTGATGAAGTTGATAGCGACTGATTGGTTGATTTCGATATTGATTATATATATATATTATCTTTATATTATTAAGTCCAAATAAATAGAGTAATAAAACTTTTTGTATATTATATACATATACGTTTCTAAAATATATATGTATTTTCTAATATGTACTTTCCATATATACTATCTTTATATTATTAAGTCCAAATAAATTGAGTAATAAAACTTTTTGTATATTATAAGTTAAGTATATTCTAAAATTTAATAAAATATATTTTTATTATCAATATATCTGCAGTATCATATATTTTTCTTTTTGGTATATTTATCTTAGTAATAGCAATAGTGATAATAATACTGATAATATGATCAAACAAGGGAAGAATAAATAATTAGTATTATGAATTATATGGAACTTTCAAATATAAAAATTAGGTAAGATTACAATAAATTATTTATAAAAACTATCTTTTATATATATATATATTGTATACACAAATTTTATGTAAAATTATTACTTACAGTTAAGAGATTAATATTTGCTATTATTGTTTGTTAATGTATGAAAGATCAATTTCTGCTTTAATATGTTTTGCTTGATCCATCAAATTTTTTATATTTTTTGCCCTGTATAAGAAAAAAGAAAATAATTATTAATATTACATATAATAAATATTAATACTACATAGAATATTACTTGAGAGAATATTATAGAATATTATATTGAGAGGCAATCAATATACGTGATAACAATATTACTCAAAATTTCTTGAATCAATTTGTTTTTAAATCTATAAAATCCAAAATTTTAAGCTATTGCTATATTACTTACATTTGAGAAAGAGTCTCCTGTATCACTTTTTCTTGGCTATGTGTAAAAACAATTTCTTTTCTTTTTTCATTAGATTCGGAAGCGTCTACATGTTTGATTTGTTGAATAGATTTTTTCTTAAGTTGTTCAAGTCTTATCTGCATGCCATGTATCTTTATGTTCATTTTCTTCAATTCCTCTGCCTCTGCTCGCTCGACAGCAGTCATTGATGGTTCCTTGTAATTTACCAATCTTAAAGCTTCCTCTGCTCTGAGAACACATAATAATTTGTATGTTTTTCACAATAGATTGATAAAAGATTATGCTTCATTTACTTTAAACACAAATGATAACCATAATTCTGTAAAACTTTTTTGCTTAAATATTATTTATACAATTGAACAGTACACTCACCTACGCGCCAATTCTTTCTGCTTATCATTGATATCTTCGTATCGTTCGGCTAAATGTTCAGCAGTGTGGCGCAATTCTTTCTTTGTCTCCATCAGAATATCGAGTTCTTTTAATAGATGAGTTTTCAAAGCTTTCAAAGCGCGGACCTTCTTACTGATTTCTTCCCGAACTTTGTCGTGTTGAACAAAATGTTGAGTGCGAAAAATATTTGTGGCATGATACAAAAACTGTAATTGTGAAAAATAAACATGTAAATTAAAACATTTTTTATTATTATTTAATTATAATTTTTCTATTTTATAATGCTTTTTTTATTTTTGAGATGTACGAGAAGAAAGTTTTTAAGTATTCTTAATGATCTTTATCTATAATAAAGATTTTAGCAATTATTTCAATAGATTCGTATAATATTTGTATAATATTCTGATTTGTATTTAGGGATTGCCTACCTCTAGGGATTCGCTCAAGGACATCGAGCGAGATCCTATTTTCGTTATGGGTTGTGATATTTCGCGTCTTAGTAATCTTCTGATATACATGTCGAAGGGTTCCTTATTTACCTTGAAATATCGATAATATATCTTAGACTTATCCAGAATATTCTCATTGATCAATCAAATTAAATTAAAAAAAATTAGTTTAAAAATAAGATTGAAATTAAAATTATAAAAATAAGTTAAAAAAAAGTCGAAATAAAAGCGCTGTTTACTTTAGCAATATAATATTAATATATTGATATAATATAATATATTAATATAATAATTAATATATTGATAACTACCTTTTTCGTAGTATTGGCGATAGGTTCCAGTTGTTCGATCTTTGGGAGATAATAAAGATCTATAACCGAAAGATCTATCACGATGCCTGTATGCAGCAATGCGATTAAAACACAAGGTTCTTGAAGTAGACCGAAACCGAGTATCGGCGTAGCTTCGTCTATATTCGTGTGCTTTGTTCTCATAGAGAATAGATATTGCAAAGTTGATTGGTTTGACAAAGATGGTAAGTAATTCCCGCTGTTATCTAAAAAAAATTCTTTTTTGTTAGACGAAAGAAATATTACAAAAAATATATTAAATAGAGAAGAAAATCAAACTTTGATTTTAATTCATTCTTTAATTTTTTTTTTATTTTTAACAAAAAATCAAGTTAATCAATTATCATATAAAAAAATTTTTTTAAATGTAGACAATTTATTCAATTTTGTTTATTTAAAAAATTTGTACGATTTTACAAGGCTTCTATTCTTTCTCTATCTCTTTCTTTATTACTCTTCTCTCAATACTATATAAATGTACTTGCCATGTATAAATTCCTCCAGTTGAGAAACCATCGGTAAACTCACCATGTGAATCCCGGCATTATGAGAGCAAAAATATCTAATAAAAATGAGCACTAATAAATAATTTATTCAATCACACACAATAAAACTATTAATTTTTTGATCGAAATGTAATGCAAAATATCTTGGAAAAGTATCGTAATCTTCGTTGTAAATAAATTGATTTTTGATTAATAAACTATGTATAGATGATAAAAATTGAATAAAAATTTCAAGTTATAAAACATCTAGTATTGACATATTTTTCATAGATTAATACCTGGATTTATTGCTCTTATCACTGTGAAGATGGATAGGACAATTATACTTTTTATCGTCATCTGTGAAGAGGAGACCGAGCTCCAATTCGACACACTCGTAGACGTAAAGTGCGTCGTCTGGAGTGTGAAGACTGTAGTTTGAGCCATACTGCGACCAAGTCTGAGAAAGAGACAAGAGATTTGTACAAAAAGAAATAAGCTTCGTTATAAAACTTATATACAAAAAAAAGATACACACACGTATTATATATATACAGGTATATATTATGCGTCAATATTTATTATACGCCATACCTTTCTGTCGTCCTTGTTGTCCTCGTCGTCCAATATTTCGCGCAATAGTATCGCGTGATAAATCTTTCCAGTGCACATGGCGATGACCACTATCGGTGGGGTAGTTTGCAGGCACATGATAGAGCATGAATCTATTCCGTAATTATCGTCGGTCGGAGGATACATAGACAACGAACCAAATACCACTGGATTCTCGTAGCTGACACAATAGAAAGTATTACTTATATTAGTTTGCTCTTTTAGTTTCGTTAATAGTTAACGTTCTTTTGTTGTAAAACTTAGATAATATATATCATATTTAATATTTAATTTGTACTTTTCCAATAAGATGTTCCCATGAACGATCAGCACTTCACCATTTCCACGGAGAACCAAAATCGGCCATTCGATCTGATTCCAATCGACCATGTTTTTTACCTAAAAATTATAAGGAATATTAAAATTATTAGAAATTTCTATCAATATCGATATTAAATACAAAAAGAATATAAATCCAAAACTAATATCAACAATGATTTAAATCTATCCTGTAAAAAACCGAGAATACCGATTTTCTTTTTTATATACATATAGTTTTGTGATATTCAATATTCAAATTAAATTACTTCATGTACAAGAAAAAACTTATTGTCAATTTCAACAAAAGCAAGCTAATATCGCTATAATGTGTATCTAAGTAAATTTTGAAACTTAAATCCGTGATACTTAAATTCATATATATTTAAGTGCGTCATTATATTCTAGATATCTATCATTTTGAATTCTAATATTATAAATTTTCTTTTCTAAGAAATCTCACATATTACAGGAATTTTAGAAAGAAGAGACATATATTCTTTCGCAAATCTGTGATGGGCTCATACCTCATCGATGCTCTTGTCGGCAAACATCTCCGGTTTTCTCAGGGTAGGAGTGGCAAAATCGAAATCTACCGCAGCCTCACCAAGGGATGCAAAACCTGGGATCTTCGAGGGCGAACTCGATGGTGCGCGGCCGACCTTCCAGCATTTTATGAGTCTGGGTGCACCACCCAGGTCGCACTCGTACAAACTGCGGCAAAGTTAAGTGCAGCTTAAGGTCAATCCGACAACAGTTTTTTTTTTTAAAGACGCTTCGGCGTGGCACGTAAAGCCTTCTAAAGTATAGTTTGTAAATGTTTTTCTTATTCTTAAGAAAGCCCTCCCCCGTTCCATCATCTAACGCGAAAAGTTAAGAACGCGAGTTTAAGTTATGTCACGTTGTACTTTCGGAGAGAGTTTCGCAGTTTGCTGTAATTATAACGGCAGTTTTCGCGAGAAAAATATTGCTATCACGACTAAAAGATAAAATAGTTTTGTTTTTAACAATATCTTGTACAGACATGCGCGTACGCTCAATTGACAAGATTGATGATAATATGATAAACTCGGCGAATAATAATCATATGTAGGTTGAAATAAAGATATTTTAATTAATTAATTCTGTTCGAAAGAACAGTCGCATAATGTTTTTTTTTTTTTTAATTACCGAAAAGAGTTCTCTGATGTCAAAACCAATAAATGCGAGTCATTCGGAGAACCCGGATGCCATCGCGTTCGTTGAATTTCCGCGGTTGCCCCAAAATCTGCAAAATTATGACTTCTGTAATCAGAAAAGTAGACAATGAGAAATAGCACATCGATTACAAAATATTTTTATAGTTATGTTATTTTATTATTATTCATTATATAAAAACTAGTTATCATTTGCAATTAATCAATAATCACTGCAATGTATAATATAAGAAAGACTAAACTTTACTCTTTTCAACTAAATCAATGGAAATGTCACTGATTAAAGCAGTGACAAGATTTCACCGAAGATCAATGAATTCACTGATCTTCCGTGAAAACAATTATACTTTGCTTCTCCATCTTATATTTTATTGATTATGGTAGTAAGATTTCGTATAACTAATATTCAAATTCAGAATTATATGTATGTTACATTTCTTTACTCTTAAGATGGGATAATATAAGGCCACAGAAAATGAACAAGGCTCTTGATTAAACACAGATATTTCTTTAACTATATATATAACTAAACTTATATATAATATTATAATATATATAAAATGCATTTTTATTAAATATCACTGATTGAGAAATAGTTACTACCACTAATTGATTCTTTCAATAATTCTTTCTTCTTACATAACTAAAACCACTGCTTATCAGTGATATAAATATACTAATTCCATTTAAAATATACTTATAACATGCATATATATATATAAATATGCAATATGTATCTGTTATTCTCCTGTAATTAATTTCAAAAATAATTAAAAGATAGATGTTGACTTTTCAAAGTTTGTTATATATGATTATAAAGCGAGAGAAAAATATGCATAGAAATGCACGGATGTGAGACATCGATCCAAGCTGGATTTGCGCCTAAGCAAAGAGAGGCGCATTCGACCGTGCGGATGAGCATTAATGGCTTTATAATCTAATGAATTTTTAGGTTAAGCGTCGGGAAGGACGAGCGGGAAATCGAGATAGGTTTTTCCCCGCGATTTATTGCCGAGAAAGAAAAGACGGGGGTTACGGCGAGAGAGCGTCCGTCGCTTATCTCTCGCGTTTGTCGGTGCCTTCCGACCGATGGGTAACAACCAAATTTATCCGCATCAAAGTAATAATAATTATTTGCCTTTGAGGAAAAATATATATTCATAAGATATAAAAGTAAGGCTCTTACAACTTAAAATCAAACTCCGAATAAAAAGGCAAAAGAGCCACGCGCAGTTTTTTGGGCGCAAAGGTATATAATTTAAACCAAAAAATAAATTAAAAAAATTAGAGAATTTCTTTAATTACATGATTCGCGAATGGCGGACGTTTCGGCCCTTTTTTTGGCCATCATCAGCGCAAATAGTACTAAATTAAACTATAAACGGTATACATAAAAAATCTTAATCAATTAAAGCGCAGAGTTACATGGTAACCAACGGTAGAAGGCGTAATCCCTCATGTCGCTCCAAAGGCAAAACCATTCTCCATGTAGTCCATGTTATTTCGGGGCAGAAACCTCGATTCTTTAAGCATGAATCCACGAACATGGTGATACATTAAATTTTTGCTGTCGACTTGTGCGTTGCGTCTCTTTTATGTAAGTCTTACTACTGTAATTTCGACATGGACCCTTCTCTCTCTTTCGTTTTTTGACACAAACCATTCCGCGCAAATTACAGACACAATTATTAACGTATCACCATGTTCGTGGATTCATGCTTAAAGAATCGAGGTTTCTGCCCCGAAATAACATGGACTACATGGAGAATGGTTTTGCCTTTGGAGCGACATGAGGGATCACGCCTTCTACCGTTGGTCACCATGTAACTCTGCGCTTGATTAAGATTTTTTATGTATACCGTTTATAGTTTAATTTAGTACTATTTGCGCTGAGGATGGCCAAAAAAAGGGCCGAAACGTCCGCCATTCGCGAATCATGTAATTAAAGAAATTCTCTAATTTTTTTAATTTATTTTTTGGTTTAAATTATATACCTTTGCGCCCAAAAAACTGCGCGTGGCTCTTTTGCCTTTTTATTCGGAGTTTGAATATATATTCATATTTTGAATAGAGATTCTGTTTCTCTCTTCTAATTTTTCGGTATTTTCAATTTTTCTCTCAAACAATCTTCTCAAAGCAACTATCTTTTCGGATTACGTCTTTATTTTGACGTCTCGCTTTGCGACGTCATTTAAAAAAAAATGTAATGTTTGTATTTTTTAATCCATTGTTCTCAAAATGCTATCATTAGTTTTACGCATTGTTGAGATGATTTTTTGAATTAAGTGACTGTATGATCTCTTTCTTGAAAGGGGACATTATGCTTTGCTTAGTTAATCCGAATGTGTAGAGTTCATAATCGTTTACGCTTTACGTAGACGCTATTATTTAATTCACTCATTTATAAAAAAAAAAATTACGTAATTCGTCTCGGAATCTTAAATAAGGGCGGACGGAGAAAGCGGCCGCTGTGCGGAAGAAACAGCAGTGACTTAAACGCAATAACGAATAATACGGCAGGGAAGTTCCTAGAGAATAAAATGATACGACATACCGTGTAAGATCTCTACTTTGAAGTCAGGTCCGTGCCGTTCTTTGTACAAATTGCGAGAAAAGCGCAGCGCAAAAAGCGCGTCTACCACCACCGGGGTTAATACGTTTACGTAGGGAAATTATTTTTAATTTTTCTAGACGTGCCTCTCTCTCTCTCTCGGACGGAGAAAGAAGGAGAGAGAAAAGATGAGGTCCGGAACACGAGGGTGTGGCAGAATGCGCGGCACTGCCGTGTAAGAATTTCTTAATTAGATTCGAGCAGCTGCATGGCCTCTCATTCTTTTGTTTCGTCGAAAAATTTCCGGTAAGTCGCGATCGCGATACCAGGTCAAGAATTTGTGCTTTATTAGATGCTTCGGCCTTGATTTAAGAGCGTTCTGCAGATTGCTTCAATCTTTTTCATTGCCTCGATCGCGAATATTTTATATATCGTTTGTTTCGAGGTAAATTCATTTCCCGATCTATTTTTAGACAGTCACCTTTTTTCTAATTGATTTCCCGTTTTTGCTTTAATAAAAGTATTTTTAAAACTATATTAAAGTATTAAATCAATTTAATTAATAATATTTCACATATTTTGATCTATATTTTACTTTCACGAATGTACGTAATATTAGAATCTTAGACAGTAACATATTTACTTTATTTAATAATATAAATGACCAGAAATGGATATTTATGCGATACACTCTCTTCAAATCTTTTTTCGGTGGCAGTGTCAACGAATATCGAATACACAATGGGGTTTGCGAGCGCCCTTAAATGCGTTGGTCCTGTTGCCATTCATTTTATTTAGGAATATTCAACGCCATCGAACGGAGCATCTCCGCGGGCACCACACCGCGGTAATCAAGACAGCTTAATACCTATCAGAAATACGCGCGCGAAAGGGTAGGCATAAATTCTGATAATTTCGAAATTGTGACAGAACGAAGAAAAATTCTCGGGGGAGGTCGCGGTGAAAAGTGCGAATAAATCGTTGCGTATGCCTTTGTCAACGAAACGGCGGCGAGTCAGGCGGACACAGGAGGGTTGGAGCTCGCTGGAGTGAGAGTCACAACCACCGTCACTACCACCACCACCACCACCACCACCGTCACCATCACCATCACCGTGTCTGGCCCTTTTTTTTCGCCCTATCTCTCTCTATCTCCTCTATATGTCCTGTCCCCCTCCCCTCATCTCTCTCCCAGCCTTTTCGCTCGCTCTCTTTCTCTCTCATCGCCGGTGCGTGCGTAATTTTTATCAATTATTAAGAACTCCTGGCGCGCGCTTGTGCTGGTGGCCGTGTCGCCGTTCTGCGCGGGACGTATGTACTAACGGGGTGTATAACCCGGAGAACGTTGTGTGCCGGTGATACCCGATGCCCACTGTCTTTTTCTCTCCGGAACGCCGGACCTTTTGCTCACTTTTTCTGGCATGCCGCGGACATTAATAACGGCCACGGGCTAACCACCGCCGTCAACCCCCTTGCCAACGTTACCGTGTCCACAGCCGCGGAAAAATTTATTTTTTGGTTTAAATTATATACCTTTGCGCCCAAAAAACTGCGCGTGGCTCTTTTGCCTTTTTATTCGGAGTTTGAATATATATTCATATTTTGAATAGAGATTCTGTTTCTCTCTTCTAATTTTTCGGTATTTTCAATTTTTCTCTCAAACAATCTTCTCAAAGCAACTATCTTTTCGGATTACGTCTTTATTTTGACGTCTCGCTTTGCGACGTCATTTAAAAAAAAATGTAATGTTTGTATTTTTTAATCCATTGTTCTCAAAATGCTATCATTAGTTTTACGCATTGTTGAGATGATTTTTTGAATTAAGTGACTGTATGATCTCTTTCTTGAAAGGGGACATTATGCTTTGCTTAGTTAATCCGAATGTGTAGAGTTCATAATCGTTTACGCTTTACGTAGACGCTATTATTTAATTCACTCATTTATAAAAAAAAAAATTACGTAATTCGTCTCGGAATCTTAAATAAGGGCGGACGGAGAAAGCGGCCGCTGTGCGGAAGAAACAGCAGTGACTTAAACGCAATAACGAATAATACGGCAGGGAAGTTCCTAGAGAATAAAATGATACGACATACCGTGTAAGATCTCTACTTTGAAGTCAGGTCCGTGCCGTTCTTTGTACAAATTGCGAGAAAAGCGCAGCGCAAAAAGCGCGTCTACCACCACCGGGGTTAATACGTTTACGTAGGGAAATTATTTTTAATTTTTCTAGACGTGCCTCTCTCTCTCTCTCGGACGGAGAAAGAAGGAGAGAGAAAAGATGAGGTCCGGAACACGAGGGTGTGGCAGAATGCGCGGCACTGCCGTGTAAGAATTTCTTAATTAGATTCGAGCAGCTGCATGGCCTCTCATTCTTTTGTTTCGTCGAAAAATTTCCGGTAAGTCGCGATCGCGATACCAGGTCAAGAATTTGTGCTTTATTAGATGCTTCGGCCTTGATTTAAGAGCGTTCTGCAGATTGCTTCAATCTTTTTCATTGCCTCGATCGCGAATATTTTATATATCGTTTGTTTCGAGGT